TCAATGACCATATGAGATAAAGAATGATAACCGTGACCTAAAAACAGCAGATACCCTTGAGTCATTCCATAAACTATTCAATGGCTAATTTTTCAGAACTAGATTACCAGGTCTTCTTTCTGAAGTGTCTCTAGGTGGGCTGGAATCTCCAAGTTTTCAGTTAACCATGAAGCTCATTAATATTTGTGCCACCTAGGGACTCTAGCAATAACAGAGTGTAACAGAAAATAAATGAATAAAAGCTTTCAAGATTGCATTAGCGATCCGCCCATGCATGTTTCTAGGATGTGCCTAGATGTAAGGAAAATGAACTCAGTTCATAAGAAAGATGAATCCACTTGTGAAGCACAGGATGAGAAAAGAAAAGGACTTGAGTGAAGCAGAATCACAGTTGGCAGAATTGTTTTAAAGAGGAGGACTCTTTTTGCCACAGAAAATTCTGTTGTGTTTTCATTTCTCATTTCTTTACCTCCCGTGACTCATCGGCAGGAGTGGGAGCACAGACAAAAGGAAACGCATCCTGCTTAAGATTCTCCTCATATAACATTTGGTTCTCAGCCCATTTTCTGTCAGGCTTCCTAAAATCCAAAAGCAATGCATAAAAATTCTCAGGCACGACAGTGAACTCTCCGGAGCTCAAGACTGGAATTTACAGCCGCCTGTAGACATCTCCATCTGCAAGTCCTGCAGGCACCGCCAACTCACTGTGTCCCAACCCAAATTAATTACCCTCCTACACGTCTGGTCCCCCTCTAGAGTCTTCTATCTAGGTTAATGCCATTGCCAATTTACCAGGTATAAAATCTAGAGATTTCAGTTGTTTTATTTCCTGTCCCACACTCCCTGAGGTTAATCTGCTGCCAACTTTTGTGGATTCACCCTGTTGTAAGGCTTTATCTACTCTTGTGTTTTGACTTCATCATTTACTTCAGCGCACTAACAATGGCAACCCAGCCAGTCTTTCCATATCCTGTAACTCCAGAGCTCCATTTGCCTAGACTACATTGTAAATGACAATGCCGTCTTGCCCCTGGGTTGTGTAATGGGTGTACCTGTCTCCCTGCTTCCAGCTTCTCACTTGGCTAATCCCATTAATTTTCTGAACTACAAATCATTTCTTTCTAAAAGCCTTAGTGATCACCATTGAAAACCAGAGAATGTGGTCCCAAATCCCAAATCTCACTCATTTCTTTTCCTGTGGTCTCTCTTCAAGCATTCGAGGTCTGTCCAGCCACACTAATAATGTACCCAGTGTAATCTCAGAGTGGTGGTTCATGGGATGTTCTCCACACCTCCTTCTGACCCCGCTTGAAGATCATCTCCTCAGGGTAGCCATCTTGAGCCCATTCATCTGGCTCTTATTTTTAAGCAAGCTCACTAAAGGCTTCTGCTTGTATTTATCTGCAGTTTGTCTCTCATCAGTATCAGATTACACAATAAACAAGGTAAGCATGGGATTTCTTGTGCTTAGTTACTAATCTATCTGGAACAATTGCACATTTTTCACCACATCACATGAAACTGTTCATTTTCTGATTACTAAGCACAAGGAAGCCCATGCTTACCTTGTTTGTGGGTAATGTGCCCTGCCTCTTACCCAGACTTTGCATTGCTGGAGTCCAGAGACCGTATCTCATTGTCATCGCTGAGTCTCGGGAGAATGGTGAATTATTAACACATCTACAAATTATCTTCTTGAATTTTGAGTTTTAAAAATGGTGATTTTTTTTTTTTTACAAAAGAATGATTTTTAAAATTTCCAGAGAAACAGTTAACAATTTTTTTTTTTTTTTTTTTTTTTGCAATGTACCCAAACAGTGAACTTCCTCAGGTCTCCTGCATTAAGTACAGTTTTTAGTGTCCCTTACAGTTTTATTATTCCAGGTGCACCGCTACCATAAGAAGTCTTTGTGGAATTGGTTCCCATTAAGCCAAGTCTATCATGTATCCAATGATTGTCTAAATGTATGTGGACTGTTCTAGAAAGCAGTAAATCAAGAAACCTATCAAAATATCTGAAGCCTAAAACTGCAGAAATCAACTTGCATGTTATAATCTGGAGATATTTTTTTCTTAAAACAATATATGCTTTTTCTTCTGGTGTCTGTGAGACACAGCAAAAAAGGAAGCAGCCAAATTTGAGAGGAGACACGTATTAAATTGGGTAAAGGAAAAGGCAATATAATAAAAAAAGAAGTGGCTAAATTTTAGAGTGGACATGTATTCACTTGTGTGAAGGAAACGTATTTAAAAAGACAGAGAGAGAGAAGCAGTCAAATTTGACCATTCTTTAAAGAATCCAAACAAGAGTCATAAGGATCTCAATTAGGTGAGTATTTCAGGTAAAACTATGAGAAATTTGAGTATAACAGGAACTACAAAAAATGGTCTTTTGAAATTCCGATTGATCATGTTATTTCTTCTCTTTTTTTCCATTGAAATCTGTGGAATATTGAAATATGTCACTTAATTTCAACTCTTATATTCTTCTTATTGTTGTTAAATGCTGTCAAGTCAGTTCTGAGTTCTAGTAACCCTGTATAGGGTTTCCAAGGAGCAGTTAGTGAGTTTGAACTGCCCACTTTGCAGTTAGAATCTACCTTGCCATATCTGGTACTTATCCTATAGTGCTACAGCAGGACTCATTCTATTTCAGTAACTAACAATAGCTATAAACCTGGAATATGAAAGCACTGAGAAGACAAATTGATGTATTATTGTTGTTAAGCATTTTCAAGTCAGTTCTGACTCATAGTAACCTTGTATAGGGTTTCCAAGGAGCAGCTGGTAGGTTTGAACTGCTGACCTTATTGTTCACAGTCCAGTGCTGATACTACAGTGCCGCACCAGAAGTCCAAAATCTTTTAATTCTCTAGAAATATTTGTTAAATTAACATATTGTTGTTGTTAAGTGACATCAAATCAGTTCTGATTCATAGCGACCCTGTATAGAGGGTTTCCAAGGAGTTTGAACCACCAACCTTGCAGATCAAACTGACTTTTCAGTTCAGATATTAACCCACAGCACCGCTCAAGGACTCCTTAAATTAACATTGTTGTTGTTGTTGTTAAGTGCCATTGAGTCGGTTCCGACCCATAGTGATCCTGTATAGGGTTTCCAAGGAGCCGATGGTGAGCTTGAACCAGTGACGTTGTAGTTCAAACTGACTTTGCATGTCATTGCATCAGCCCAAAGCACTATACCAGGACTCCTAAATTAATATAAATGAGCATATTTTAAAATTATATTGCAGGATTACATTAACCATCCTTTAGCTTAGAAACTAATTTGAAACAAACGTTTTTGTATCTTTGTATCTTTTTTTAAAGACATATAGGTTCATAGACATATTTCAGAGTTTGGAAATCATTACAATGTTTTATTCAATCACTTACTTTTGAAATTTTTTTTCATGATAATATTCTCAAATAGTGAAAGCGTTTATAATGTATAAAATTGTTATTGCTACTAAGTGCTATCTAGTCAGTCCCAACTCATAGTGACCCTGTATAGGTTTTCCGAGGAGTGGCTGTTGGGTTTGAACCACCAACCTTGTGAGTAGCAGGCCAGTACTTATCCTATAGCACCACACTAGAACTCCAATGCATAAAAGTGTTGTTGTTGTTAAGTGACGTTGAGTTGATTCTGACGCATAGTGACCCTGAATAGGGTCTCCAAGGAGCAGCTGATAAGCTTGAACCACCGACCTCACAGTTCAAATGACTTTGCAGCCTGACGCATTAGCCCACAGTGCCACACCAGGATTCCAATGCATAAAATTAGCCACAAACAAATGATTATGCACTAGAAAATATTTATTGACAACTTGTATTTTCCTTCAATATTCTGACAAACATCATACACAAAATACAGTAAAATGCACTTTTCCCATTTCAAATAAATATAGTTTACTCTGGTAAAAAGTTTAATAATCTGTGTAGTTCACCACAGTATCATAATCAGTGAAAAAAGGCAAAAACAATCTCTAGTTAATCTGTTGCATATTTTAATGATTCTAACAGCAGTTTGCTAAAGAAAAGGAAGACTATGTATTCTCTGCAGAATTAAATTCCAACTTGGAGCTTCTGACGTATTATTTGGAGGAGGCAAATATAAGTTTCTTTACAAAATATTTAGTTTTAAAATAGTTGCAATTTCTTGAGGGGGAGGGAAACCAAACTAGCATCCAAGTATTTACTAATGGATTAAGTTATATGTAAACTCTCTTGTCAATGCTTCCTAAGACCAAACTGCTTTCTGAATAATAATGATTTATCACACTGGTCATTTTTCTGTTGATCACACCAACACTCTTTCAACATTAGTGGTTAAATATTTAAACTAAATGTATGAATGTAACATAAACCCCAGGCAACATTTTAAAGCTCTTCCTACAAGAAAGGCAAAATACAGTATTATACAGGACAAATTTATGCTTTTCTTAATTGGTATTCTTAATATTTATTAGTACTGAAATCGATTGAATTATACAGACTTCACACCAACTGATATATACATAGATCCCTGATCAATTTAAGACAATATGTTAGTTTCTCTTTTAAATGGCAACAATATTTAGTAACCAACAAAGAAAAAGTCATATTTAGGTAGTTGCCAATCCTCAGAGTCTTCTTATATATAAACTATCCACTCTCCAAAGAATATTATCACCAAATAATAAAAATCATTAGTACTGTCTGACTTCCTATGTTAGCAGTTAACTGGTACTTTATATACTACCAAACTGTGGAAGTAAAGCAAACCTTAAAGAGTCCAATCTCACCACAGCAGGGCCCGTTTTGGGAGACACAGAAATATTAGTCAAATCATGCCACTTCAAAGCATAACTGTATTCAGTAAACACCTTACACAGGCTACAAAGTGGGTATTAGATGGATCCTTGGCATTATAAAAGGTGTTAACTGTATATCCAGGTGGTGACTTATAATATGAAACTTTTTACCTCTACATTTTAAAGGGTAGACATCGATATGCTTTGAGTGTGTGCTCAAAAATTCACAAGTCCAATAAAACAATGTTGTGATTTCCTTCCTTGACATTCCCTATAATTCCTCCATCTCAAAGTGTGTATTGAAACTGTTTGCCATGGATGTGTGTTCAAAGATCCTCGATAGGCTGGGTTTTAGCAGCTCTACTGAGTGACATGACAAATGCTGAGAGGTGTCATTCTTCAAGGACATCATTTGGTCTGTACCAGGCTCCCTTCTATCATAGTAGAGAGCCCAAAGCAGAGTTATGGTGAGGATCATAGCAAGGATTTGTGTCACTCCAATAGAGATTCCCAGAAACCTCAGCACCTGCAGTTGTTTGGTTCCCCTCAGAAAGGAATACATTTTCTTCCCACAACCCTGTAAAAGAAACAACAGAGTCAATATTACTTTGCCAAAATTAGTGAAAATAAACAATGGAGGTGTACACCTTTTCAATACTCTGCACAGGCTGCTAATCAAAAGACCAGGGGTTTGAACCCACCAGCAGCGCCATGGGAGAAAAGACCGGCCAATCTGTTCAAGGAAAAATTTACGGACTAGGAAAAGCTATAGGGCAGTTCTGCTCTGTCCTACAGCATCACTATGAGTAACTCACCTTGGTAACTCACCACCAAAACGATCCTTCTTGGTTTTTGCCACAATCTAATATTGAGAACCATCATTCTAAAACAGCCTAACATCTCGACCAGGTTCCTGGGATGGTGCAAATAGTTAATGTTCTCAACTTCAATGAAAAGGTTGGATGTTCGTGCTTCCCCAGAAATGCAATGGAGGAAATAACTGGCGAGCTACTGCTGAAAAATCAGCCACTGAAAACTCTTTAGAATATCAATGACTTAAATTTAATAGTTAACTTTCCAAAAGAATGTCATTCTTCTTGAGGAGACAGTATATTTCCAGATGTCTCCTTAGACCCTCTACATTCTTCATGGCAACAGCTTCAGGGTTTACTATCCTTCTACATCACCTGTATGGAAGTGATTCCACCTGAACACAAGCTTTGCCTCTATATGTACCAGTGTAATAACCATGCGTCTGGGTTCTGTTCTCCAGTGTAAAGTTGGATACTGTTTATTGAAAAGCAAGACACTAATTCTTTAAAAAAGTATTGATGAATTTCTACATAATCTATTGTACTGTTGTTGTTAAGTACTGTCAAGTCGGTTCTGACTCATAGCAACCCTGTATAAGGTTTCCAAGGAGCATCTGGTGAGTTTGAACCACTGACCTTGTGGCTCAAACTGACCTAGCGGTCCAGCGCATTATCCTGCAGCACCACACCTACTAAGCATAGGTATGTATCTGTATTTGCAAACACTTCTGTTGAGTGGGTCAAAAGAAGAAACAGAATGCTACAGTTCAAAACCGCATTCCATTTCACAAAGGATGTTTTACTAAGAATAGAAAAGAACAGAATTGGACTCATTTACATTTCTCAAAATAAAATACTTTGAGGTAATGTTACTTGAATATGTTTTCTACCTGAATATAGATATCCTTGTTGTTGTTATTAAGTACTATTGAGTAGGTTCTGACTCATAGCAACTCTGTATAGGGTTTTCCAGGAGCAGCTGGTGGGTTACAATCGCTGACCTTGTGGTTACCAGCCCAGTGATTATCCTATAGTGCCATACCAGGACTCCACAGATATCTTAGTCCTATATTAATAACCTCAGCTATTTCAAAAGGACAAAAAGGGCAAGTTGGCTAACCTATTTTAATATAAAATTTTTGATCAACTATTAACTGCAAATGTGGAAGAAAGATGAGACTTTTTGCTCCCACGAAGATTTCAAGTCTTTGGAAACCTTATACAGGGTCACTACGAGGAGTGAGAACCAACTGGGAAGCACTTACCAAAAGCATGGACTGTAAATAGCAACACTACCTCCATCAGAGCAAGAGCATTAATCCCTACAGTTCCGGGAACCTGTGTGAAGGCATGTCAGGATGCCTCATTTCACTGGTGGAAATGATATCCTTTGAAATTATTCTCTGATCTTTCTCAAAATACATTTCTAAAACTGGGAGCACACCTATGGCTTCTCAGTACTCAATATTCACAGGTCACATCAAAGAATGAAGCAGCCTTTTAATGTGCTTGTGAAGATAAAGTATAAATAAAATCTAAGCGCCAGAACTCCCAGTACTAGTATTTTTGTGATTGTGTCATTGATTTTTCTAACAAGCACAACTCTGGTTTGAAATCACTATATGAATCATCAGGAACAAAAACATAATCTTCAGCCCTATTTTTTATAGAAATGAAGAACTGAATGATGACAGCAGTTCATGAGTTCATGGGGTTTCAACTGAGTCAAACCAAAAGCTCTCTACTAATAACGTTAAGTATTTTGGGGAAAGAAATGCTTATTTAAATACCAAAAATAAATAGCAAGCTGTAAAACTCACTGAAGGATAGTCTATCCTCTAAAGAGTTTTTGTTAAGTGCCAGCAAATTGATTCCACTTCATAGAGACCCTGGATAAGGTTTCCAAGGAGTGGCTGGTGGATTTGAACCACCAACTTGTGGTTAGCAGCCAGTGTTTATCCTATAATACCAAACAAGAACTCCATTTCTCTTAAGAGTTGTTGTTGTTGTTAAGTGCCGTCAGCTTTCCCTAAACCCATACATTCAAAATGCAGGAGAAAACGCCTTCTTCTTTGTAAATATGCAGCTGTCTTTCATGTTTTATTTCCTCCTCACAGTATTGTCATTAGATAGATAAAAATCCACTGCTGTCGAGTTGATTCAGACTCTTAGTGACCCTGAAAGGCCAGAGCAGAACTGTTCCTTAGGTATTCAGAGACTAAAATCGGTAAGAAAGCAGACAGCCTCATCGTTCTACCTCAGAGCTGGCTAGTGGGTTTGAACTTCAAACCTCTTGGTTAATAACCCAACACTTTACCACTGCACCACCAGGGCTCCAGACATTAGTTAGATGTTGCTTGTAAGTGCCACTGAGTTGGTTCTGATTTAGCAACCCTGTATAGGGTTTCTGAGCAGGGACTGTTGGACCTGGAAGTTAGCAGTCCAGTGCTTATCCTACAGTGCCACACTGGGACTCCATTAGATAGAATGAAATTTGATCAGTTTTGCTGATCAGTTTTCACTAAGTGTCACTGTCACCCTAAGGGGTGAACAGATTATTCATAACATGTTCCTTTCATGTTCATAACATGTTCATTTGAACATTTTGTCTCAAACCCTAACTGTTGGACTCTAACAATTTGGAGGATGTGGAAAACAAGCATAGTAAGACACTGAAACCAATTCCCCAAACCTAGGCCTGAATTCTACCTTCAGCAAGAACAAATATTATACAAAATTGAAAAATGCATACTTCCCTGTCATTACAAGCAAAACAAGAGGGGAATTAGCTAATTTAAAATTAGAGCACAGATTGCTACTTTTCTTATTCACTTCAGTAAATATCTTAGTAAATTACTGTTATTATTGTCATTCTTATCATTAGCAAACATCGTTCACCAACGATTTGTTTTTAATGTGCCAGGTGTGATGTGTGGGCTTCTCAGACAGTTTAGCAATTTATCTTTGTAACACTACAATGACATGCTGCTACCAGCTGCCTTCAAGTCAATTCGATTCGATTCATAATGTGCCCATGTGACTGAGGAGAACTGCTTCATAGGATTGCCCAGGCTGTAATCAGAACCACTGAGTGGGTTTGAACTGCAGACCTTTTGGTCAACAGCTGAGTATGTAATTGTTTGCACTACTATAGCAAAAACACTATCTTTCATAACTATTCTTAATAGATGAGAATCTTGAATTTTAAAAGGGGAAAAACTCTACAAACATTCAGTTTTCGTCTCATCATATGTGTCATGTCTCAAAATTTTAGTGTCTAAAGTATGGGCTTTGGAATCAAACAGATCTCAGCTGAGTCACTCACTAGCTCTGTGGCACTGGGCAAGCCACTTCACCTCTTTATACCGTTCTTCTCATCTGTAAAATGCAGATATTCATAGTGAACCTTCTTTATAGGAATGCTCAAAGATCTGAATAAAGTCAACCTTTATGGAAGCAGGCTGCCTAATCTTTCTCCTAAGGAGAGACTGGTGGATTCAAACCACTGAACCTCTCAGTTAGCTGCCATTTGCTTAACCCATGGCATCACTAGGGTTCCTCTTGAATGAAGCAATGTATATAAAATACTTGCTCATATGTATCTTACATGAAGAATCCAATGTGTGCTTTTCAATCTATTTGTGATAGCTGTCAGCTGTTACTGGTAGAATATCATGTTGTTGCTGTTAAGTGCTGTTGAGTTGGTTCTGACTCATCATGACCCTTTATAGGTTTTCCAAGGAGTGACCGATGGGTTTGAACCGCTGACCTTGCAGTTAAAACCGACCTTGTAGTCCAATGCTTATTCTACGGTGCCGCACCAGGAATCCAATATATCGTGTAAACACGCACTATTCAGAAGAGCGGTCTATGTAGTAATTTATTTAACACTCCAAAGGACCCTACAAGATGGGTTACCATCCATATTTCACAGATGAGATGATAGAAGCACAGAGAGGTTAAAAATGTGCCCAAGAACCAACAGCTAGTCAGTCTTAAACCCAGAGACTCTGGCTACAACACCATCTTAACTCCTGACACATGCTACTCACCAAATGCAAAACTCACTTCTAACCACCTCCTCCCCTCTGACTTTCAGGAGTCACCTTTCCATTTTTTCTCTGTATAAAACACAGGGTCTCCTCCTCTGGCCCTAAGTATTGTCATTCCCTAGAGTTCTTTCCTGGCTGTGTACTTATCTACCCGACTCCCCACCCTATGCCATCATATACAATGATAACACCTTTGTAAATTGTGTAAACGCTCAGTCTTCACATTCCCAAATCCATTCTCTTTTTCTTACATAGCAAAATTATTGTATGCAGGAACACAGCCTCCTAGCCAGAGACCACATTTCCCAGCTTCTCTTGGAGTTAAGCACAAACCATGTTGTTGTGAATGGAATGTGAGCAGAGGTGAGAGGCATACCTCTGTGCAGTGATGTGTTCTTCCCATTCTCTTGCCTGACTGGCTAGGACTGGGAACAACCAGGAACAACTTCAGAAGACGGGGATCAAAATAGGTGACAATGCTTCTCCATGCTGGGTCCCCGGGTGACTGTGCATAGCATAGCTGCTTGGCAGTCAAACCAACTGACAGAAAATGTACTTTCTCTTTATTCAAACTATTATATTTTGGCTAATTGTTGTTAAGTGCTGTCAAGTCCGTTCTGGCTCATAGGGATCCTGAATAGGATTTCCATGGAGCAACTTGTGCATTCGAACTGCTGACCTTATGGTTACAAGTCTAGCATTTATCCGACCCT